ACGTAGTGTGGCCACGAGGTATTGCTGCATAGGAAGTGCTTCACGTTCTTGGGCGTGGTTGGACTTCTTGAATTCCAATCCCACTTGGTCCAATCCCACGCAGCTTTTGCCAGCCGGACTTGCACTGGCGCAAGGGGGGGGTACTTAGACTTGGCATGCTTATTGACCCAACACTCTTTCATTGAAAACTCACTTGGAAAGTGTCGGAGCTTTGGACTGATAGGACTTCCTTGCTTCAGAATTCTTGTAAGCCTAGACGTTGGATGGAACTTTGCACTGATGGTACGCCTATGACTTGAGGAGCCTTCTGCGGCACGGGCGATGGCAGGGTACTACGAGTCTGGATGCTGCTGCCGAACATTTCGGCATGAATTTGAGAGGTGGGTCCTATGGGACTATAACAGCAATCTAAGAATCAGAATCTGCCGATTAGCCCTCTTCCCGTCGTGCTGTGTTATACGGGTGGTTGTCAAAACTAGGGTCCCTTTTTTGGGTCCCTAATATATTACGGCACCTATCATCACCCACAGAGAGACCCCAATATTGACAACCACCCCATACTATACTGAACTTAGAACCCTAGAAAAAATTATAATTTTAGCTGCTTCGTCGGGATTATAACCCAAAATAAAAAACTATTTCTAGGTACCCCTAAGCATATATGCCGGCCAAGGCCGGAGTCTCATTGCTAAGGTATGCTAAGGTTCCCACAGCCCGACGGAAACCGGATTGGGCCCCTTGAAGAGCCCTACACAGTAAACCCTAAACCGACCCCTTGAAGAACCCTTCTACTTGGAGGGTCGGGGGACTTAGTAACTGGTTATTTTTGGGACTTATAAGTACCATAACCCCAATTGGGTCCCTTTTAGGGTACTTATAACTCTACTTACTACCTACTTACTAAGTCCCCGGACCCCCCAAGTAGCATGTAGTTCAGCAAGCCCTAAGTCCCTAAACCTTAAACCCCCATGGGAATCCTATCCCTATTAGGGTCCATGTGCCCATATAGGTTATGCTTTGGCCTTAAGTGTAGTCATTACATAGGTACTTCAGGACCAGAGTATATACTATATATATATATATATATGGGCACATGGACCCTTAGGGTATTAGAACACATCCGGCAAGGGCGGAGCCGTCTGGCGGAACGCCAGGGGACGGTTGGAAAGTCGCGGCCTTTTGGAAGGACGGGTGGAGTTTAGGGTTCGGGGCATTAGGGGTTTAGGTTTTGGGTTGAGGGTTCAGTTTCTATAGTGGTTCTGCGGTCTCAGGTCAGTATGGAACAACATATGTCAGTCACACACACACACACACACACACACGTGAATCTTCACATGTGTACTAAATGCAGGCTTGAAGCAGCAAGTACATGAAAACACGACAGATACACGAATCTAGATACAGACATTACTGCAACATTGAATACGAAAACAAAAACGGACGTGTGTATATACAGGTATGTAAATATACATATACACATGCATACATACATACATACATACCCATACGTGTATATGTATGTATGTACGTATGTATGTATGTATGTATAAGCATCTCGGCTCCATGACGAGGGGCAGAGCTCAGTCAGGGAAGCTGGCTGCCTTGCAGCACAGGCTACTCGGCTACTTGTGGGGTGTGGTTCAGGGCTGTGCCCAGGCGTCCAATTCTCTTGAGTTGGGGTGGCTGGCTGTGGCTCGATTTGGAAACTTAGCATGGACTACTCTGCCATGGAACTGGTTGCACCGCACGGAGCGAATAAGATTCGGCCATCATATGCTAGAAGCTTGCCTAGCTTTCTGGATCGCTTTGTGGAGTATTACGTGCTCGGGTTCCTTGCGCGGCTTTGGACCAACACCATCCACCTCCCAGACAAAGTGGTCTTCAAAAGGCAACGAGTGCTACGAACCCGGTGGCAGCATCTTGGAGCGTTCTCTGTATGGTTTGAAGGCTGGTTTTTGCTGGACTTGGCAGGTCGTTTGGAACTCCTTGATAAAACTACGAGTCACTACTTGGAGTTTGGGCAATGCATGCTGCAAGCTGTATGTGCATATGTGGCACCATGGTTGGACTCCATGGACTAGCTGGTGACGTGCCCTTAGAGGGGCCTACTGCCTCTGTCGGCTCCGACGGCATGAGAACAACCGTATGCAGCAGGCGCTTGTGATGCTCTTCCTCCCGTTCTGCCTTGTCATGCTTGGGCAGGGGAGCATTGTCTACTGTGGTGGCATGTTCATCACTCTGCAGGTGCAGGCGACCTACCCGACAAGCCGACCTTCTACCAACATGTGCCCCCATCATGTTCATGGCTACCGGCATGTGAGTGTCAGTGATGAGACCCAGACTCCTGCACCGAGCTGTGACACCATGCATACTCGCAGCTCAACACGCGGGGTCAACAGTCTTCGGAGGGGTGTGGTTCTCTTGTGTGCATCATGCCGTCCAGCCTGGCAAGCCTTGATGACTTCTCCTCCGGGGAAGATGGGCCGCCCACTCCGGCTCCTACTACGCCTGGAGGGACCCCGCTCCCGGCGGGCCCTCCACCGCCGAGACCGGTGACAGATCTCAGGTCGATGTCGCATCGCATTTCTGGTGCGATCATCCAGACCTTTGCAGAGGTTGGCATACCGCTCCATCAGGTACTGACACATCTGCCATGGACGTATGGAGAACTTCGATCGGTGCAGGTAAACATCGACTTCCTGACTCCGGCCCAGGCCTTCCATCCGAACACCCTTCTGGCGACTGACGATGATGCCCAAGCAGAAGATGATGAAGCAGAGGGTGGCGACGGCCACAGCGAGACCGAAGCCTCGAGCTCAAGACCAGCTGTGGATACGGCGATTGAGACCGCCCCGTGGCGTGGCAGCTCGAGCGGAGCATCGCATGGCAACCCCAGCACCATGGCGACACCGAAGCCAAAGGCGAACCGCAAGCCAGGGCCTCATTCGCTTGCTCCGTCTCAGTATAGCAAATGGTATCCAGGGTGCACCTATGACAGGGACTCTCTGCTAAAAACTCCCCTGCCTCATGTCAGCCTGACAGTCGCAGACGCACGGGGTGAGCTGACTAGCGGAACTGAGGGCTGTGAGGGCTGTAATGGCAAAGGGCTTGCACATGTGCCCCAGGGTCACTTGAACAGGGGACAGGATGCGATTTTGGCCCAGGAGGCCGATGGCTCATCACCACCCAGGTGCTCCACAGAGTGGCCACCAAATGTTTTGGAGAGTCGAGCAGACAGCAAACAGCTGGCTGGACCATTGAGGAAAACAGGGGCTCCGCTGCCACTTCCTGTCATAATGCATGACTATATCGTTGCGAGCATGTCGAATATGAGTCCGCCCTCTACCTCCCCGTTGGCCAGGTACTGTATGACGACCTTCCCCAGAATGTGGCAGGGAACTTTGTGCCTGCTGCTGTTTTGCGACGTTATGGAGTATTGGACCGCATGCCTGCTCAGGTTGTTCGAGGGCCTCGCGATTATCGTGGTGATGCAGGCATGGCGTCTACCTGCTCGCTTTCATAACACCCTGAAATGGATACGTGTGAAGGTCATCTCTGGCGTCCAGGTGCTCCATGGTGGGCCCCTCGGCCCTCGTTGCAGCCAAGGGTGTGAGACTACGAGCCCTCCCACACCTTGGTACAGGACTTCCCTCGGGCACAACTGCCCCTCCTCGTCAAGCCGCCCGGGTCCCAAGTCCCGGGACCGGCAGAATAGATGGCACATGGTGTCTCTTGTTGTCCACTCTACCAACGGTTACATGTGCATCGCAGGTAGATGCGAGGGTTGGGTCGTTTGTCCACCTACACGACCCTGAAGCCCAACAACCTGACCCAGAGGTGCATGCATGGGCGAAGCCAGGTGACACTCGCTACTTCTCCCATCGACAACATGTTCCCTCACAGCCAACTACGATTAAAAAGCGAGCATTGTGCAGAGCTATCCGCAGAGCAGAAGGCAATGAACAGCAGACCACATGGTACAAAGGCAGACTCCGGCACCTGAACCAGTTATGCTCAGATCGTGTCGCCTCGCAGAAGACCACTCCGAAATCGACGCTTGAACCTCGGCAGCCACAAAGACTGCGACTGGTCACCTGGAATTGCGGAGGTCTTCAAGGATCGCGGTACCATGAGGTCCTGACGTGGCTCCAAGATGAACACCAGGCTGGTCGTACGGTGGATGTCTGCTGCCTGCAAGAGACTCAGTGGCGAGAGGAAATGGAGTACACGAATGCCCCCACAAATGCGGGGGACTTGGCCTGGCATGCGGTGCACTACCCGGGGAAGGACACCTCGGGCATACTTTGCCTTGTTCGGGTGGGACTGGTCCCACCCAGCCATATCAGAACGGTCAGTGTGATGTCAGGCAGAATGGTGCACCTGCGGCTGCCGTTGGATGTGCTGTGCCTATATCAGTACTCATGGAATCCCCAGAAGCTTGAGCTAGCGGGCACCAATCGTGTTGAGGCCTTGCTCAAGCAGCGACGCCACATTTGGAGGCTGGTTGACAAGTGGCTCGGCAGCATCCCGCAGCGGAATGGCTGCCTGCTGCTGGGTGACCTGAACACTCCAGTGGTCTCTGATGGACAAGTGGCAGGTGAGGGAGTTGCCACAACACAGGCGGCTCATCAGCAGGACCAAGGCGAGTTCCAAGACCTGCTCGTGACCCATCAGTGTTGCACCCTCAACACATGGGGCCGCCGTGGCCTGCATGCGAGGACCTACATCCCTCCCGATGACAAGGGCCAAGTCTGGCACGTGGACAACTCGGGGATCAGATCGCCAGGCAGGCTGGGCCGATCAATGCACCATTTGTGCCCACCAGTGGTGGGCGACACAGGCCGGTGGCAGCTACCATCCCGACGCCGTCTCGACCTCACAAGCCGGCAGTGACGAATCCACATTTACGACCTCGGAATTTTCAACGACTACTTGCACAACCAGAACTGGCAAGCCAATTGACCCAGGAGGTAGGGCAAAACCTCACAAAGCTCCAACCCATGGATGAGCTGGATGGTGCCCTCCTTGCAGGCGGAAGGCTGTACACCAGGATGTCGGGGCCCCGATCGTGCCCAACAATGCTCACGGCTAGTGTTCGGAAACTCTGGACCTTGCGGGCCACCCTCAAGCACCTCTCACAGGAGATGGGGAGTTGGGCCAGCCCACGGACTCAGGCCCGAAGGGCTATGCAAGCGTGGGCACAAATCATTCGACTCAATCGGCACAATCGTGAACTCCGCAAGGAATGCAGGCAGCGCAAAACTGCCAAGATTGAGGAGGTGGTCTGTAGTAAGAACATCCATCAGGCTGCGAAGCGATTTGCACCCAAGGCTCAGAGGAGGCGTCTACAACTTCGAGATGCGACAGGAGGCATTCAGACACATGAAGCTGAGTTTGAGCAGATCAAGACTTACTTTGTCAAGCTCTATGATGGCCCGAAATTGGATGCGCCTCGATTGTCCCAATGCCCCCTGATCACGGTGCATGAGGTTACGGCGGCCTTTGGCAGACTCCAACCTGGCAAGGCCATGCCCGGCAATAGTGCACCAGCTGCCCTGTGGAAGTTTTTCCACACAGGAGGTGGCGCCGATCCTGACGGCACAGTTCAATCTCTGCCTCAGCCCGGGCGCGAACACCTTGCCAGACACCTGGTGCATCTCTGACCTGATCCTGATACCCAAGTTGGGGAAGCAGATGAAAACACCGGGGGACCTCAGGCCGCTGTCGTTGCTCACGCTTCCGGCGAAGGCACTGGCGGCAGTTGTTGCGAGCAGGCTCCAGCCGTATGCTGTTCGCTTCCTGGAGGGGGTGCCACAATACGCATATGTACCAGGCCGCACTCTTTCCCAAGCGCTCGAAAGGGTCTTTGGGCACTGTGCTGCTGTTCGTGCTCTTCTGCCACAGGGGCACCAGAATATCCACGCCAAGCGTCAGGGACACAGAGCGGACAGTTTATGTAGCGGTTGCATGTTGTCCCTAGACATTTCCAAGGCGTATGATTGTGTGGACAGACACCAACTGGAAGAGGCGCTCAAGGCTGCTGCTATACCTCAGTACCTCATAGAGATGACCTTGCTCATCCATCGCTCTGCCAGGATCAGAATCAGCCATTGTGGCCTCGAGGAGGTGATTGGCACCCATCGGGGACTGAGGCAGGGATGCTCATTATCACCCATCTTATGGGCGATACTGACGGGGTGGATGCTGAGGCAGATGGAAGACCCTATGGCGACAGGCACCACCAGCATTGTCTCGGCGAACACTACATACGCTGATGACCAGCACTACGCCTGGCAGGTACGCAAGGGGCTCGATATGGAAAACGCCTACGCAGCGATGAAGCACATCCTGGGCTCCCTCAGAAGGTTCGGTCTGCAGATCAGCACGGATAAAACTGTCATATTGCTAGACCTACGAGGACAGCACGCACAGCGAGTCCTGCAACGATATCTCGTGGACACGCCCCAAGGGAAGTGCATGAAGTTTGTGGTGCATGGGGAAGCCACTTATGTTAGGATTGTGCCGCACCATGTCTACCTGGGAGCAGTCATCAGCTACAACCGATTCGAGCACGAAACCCTTCAGCATCGCATGAGGCTGGCCAAAGGGGTCTACTCCAGACTTGGCAGCATCCTCAGACATCGATCGGTTCCCTTGAAGCTTCGACTCCAACTATGGCAGGGCTGTGTGTGGCCCACTCTTCTTCATGCTTTGGACAGCAGTGGTCTACCAGGCAAGGACCTACAAGCCATGCAAACACTGCTGCTCAAGCAGGTCCGTTCGATTGCTAGGTCCCACAGCATGCTGACCAGGGAGACTAATCGTGCCATTATCGACAGGCTTCGGCTACCTGACCCGGTGCGCCGCCTGCAGCAGGCTCTCACTCGCAGGGAGCAACAGGACAGTGCACTTGGAGAAGCCATCCGCCCAGGCAGAGAACAGCTGCAATGGCGCTCAATGGTGAGAGGGCACCTCTTTGACTCCATGTGTGTGTGGCAAGCCCGGCCTGAAGACCAGAACTTGCAATCTAGGCTGGTCCCTGTGCAGTTGGTGCTTCATGAACAGTATGAGTGTGAAGTTTGCGGGCAATGCTTCAGCACACAGGCCTCGCACAGACGACACATGTACCTCAATCACTTTGATCACGAGCAAAAACAGAAGCGAGATGCAGAGGTCCATGCGGCACTGATGCACTCCAACATGGAACACTCCGTGGATGGGATGCCAACATGCAAACACTGCAAACACCAGTTCAGTACATGGCATGCCTTCAACTACCACATCAGTTCCAAGAGTTGTACACAGTTGCGTGTGCGAACGGCTAGTGTGACCAATGAGACGGAGGTTGCACAGAGCGATGCACTAGTTGCGAATGAACAATTGCTTGATTTTGCGAAGCAGTGCACGTGGCAGCAGCTTGCGCTTCACCCCATGGTGCGGAAGAAGCACAATCATTGCCCCGAATGTAATCACTGGTCTAGCACTCCGCAGTACGTGAAGAGGCACATGCTGAGCCAGCATCCAAATTGCAAAGCTGTGGTGGAAGACTGCATGAAAGCCATCAAGGAAAGCAAGCTCAGTCTTACGAATCTTTGTCAGTACTGCGGACTTGAGTTCAAGCGTAAGGACGCCCACCTCAGATCATGCATTGGCATTTTTCACGGAGTCTATGTACATCGTCGGCTCGCCAGGGGTGCCAGGCTAGTGCTTGAGGACGCCGGATCAGGCAAGAGTGCCAAGCTCACCAACCTTGCACTCCACCATGGCCGACGTGCAGATGGGGAACCAGGACGACCAGGCCGAGCTGTCGAAGGCGACGATGGAGCCGGACCTGCTGAGAACCCTAGCTCCGCAGGTGGTCAACAGAGCACCCTCCTCACCGGGAACGACGGCGACTCCACCGGAAAGCCTGGATCAGCGACCACAGAAGTGGCAAAAACCGGGCCAAAAAGGAGGGCAAGCACCAGACCCAAAGGGCAAAGGAAAGGGCAAGAGCAAGCACCACGGACAATCAGCAGCCTCTTCGAAGAACAACGCCTGGGGTCGCGGGGCCTGGGGAGGACAGCAGACGGACCACAGCGGGGAATGAGAAGTGAACCAAGAGAATCAGGGTCCAGTCACCAGGGCGGAGTTCGCCCAGATGAAGTCGATGCTGAACATGGTCACGACCCTTGTCATCCGGCAGGAGATTCAACAGAATATCTGCAGGCTGGACTCCGGTTACATGCTGTTCATCCAGACGACGGCCCCGGAGAGTTTGGCCTTATCGACCTACAAGGTGGGCCTGGCATGGCATCAGATGAAACAGAGCACTCCGGAGAAGCTGACCCAGCCTATGCGAGTGGTGTTGTTTCAGCACCTGCTTACCACGGTTCGCGGAAAATTCGATGCGATGATGGCGAGCCCCTCTTCGAGGTCGAAGGCGGAAGAGCTGGGATGGATCTCCAAGGCCGGGGACGAGGTGTACGGACTTCGGTGGAACGCCGAGGAGGCCAGGCACGAGCGAGACCCGCAGCTGCCCAGCCTCAAACCGATGGAGGTGCGCGAGGCGATCGACGAGCTCATCAAACTCAGCACCAAGCCCATGGTGATCCACAGGTACCATGCCACCAGGCAGATGGCGGAGACCTATCAGTCGCCCACCTTGGCGATGATGATCGAGGTGGGATCCCGAGTGGAAGAGGCTCAACTGGTGTGGAAACGATTGCACCTATTGAGCCAGAGTGCGGCATGGACGGCAGCAGGATGCTTCTTGAGGCACGAACGCCTCAAGCTGGGCGCCCTGGCGATGCGACTCAAGAGCATGGCCCAATGATTCGAGCATGCTTAGGCAACCATGGCAATTTTTGCTATATGAATGTGATCCTGAAGTGTCTGCTGCATGCTGCCTCACGACTGGGGTGCCTGGATAAGTTTTTCAGGGGAAAAGCTGCTGGGTTCCTTAGGTGGCTGGAGGTTCATATGGGTGGTGGTGAAGTTCATCTTTGGCACTCACAGGAATGGAGGCACATGCTGCGAGGTTGGAACCAACCGCTGAAGCAACATGATGCGGCGGAGTTCCTACAGTATGTGGGGAATGCTCAGTGGTTTGTGCGCCAGGATATAGAGGTTGAATGGCAGGCCAGGTATAGGGGTGAGGAAGGTTGCGCACGAATTGCTGACGTGGGGTGCTCGCTTCCGCTGTTATTGCTGCCTCCGAAGGGGTGCACGGATGCTGATGATTCGGAAGTTTCTGTCACTGTACAAAGCCTCGTTGAAGAGTGGCAGAATCAGGATTGCACACATGCAATGCTTACTCCTGCAACCACCCTCGTCCTGCAAGCTGTGCGGTTTTGCTACGGCACTGAGTTCGAGCATGCTACCAAGCGTCGCTACGAGATTGTGCCTAATCGGTTCCTCGATATCCCTGTGTTTCGCAGTGAGCTCAGTGTCAGACCAGTGCTATATCAGCTACAATCGGTGATCATTCACCGAGGGAGCGTTCCCTCGAGTGGTCACTATCAGGCACTGCTGTACTGCAAGGATGAGCCGATGATTTACTTAGCTGATGATGGTCGGAGGGCCTATCCTGTGTATGCGGATGGTGTTGCGAGTTTAGGTCGTGACATGTACTTGTTTGTTTACCAAAGATGCTTGCAGTAGTGTCCTGCTTTTGGGCATACGTGCCGGGGACAGGGCTGTGGGGGAATGCACATATGTGCAGCATTGGCCGGGCAAGACACCTGTTCCCCGATGTCGTTAGCCGAGTACAGACTCTGCAACGCGCAAAGTGAAAGTGAAAGTATGTATGTATGTATGTACATGAACGAATGCATGTATGTACGTATGCATGTATGTATATATGTATGTAATTGTGCATGCATGGATGTAGGCACATACAACACATTTGTACACGCGCATGTCTGTTTATACAACAGGTTGGTTTGTACATCGAACTATATAACATACATACATGCATGCATACATACATACACACGTATCTACACACACACAAGTATACAATAGGTAGCAGTAATTACACATAGATTTATGAGTCTGGGCGTGAACATACATCACGATGAACGCATCATGCACACAAAAAGCAGGCAGTTTAATAACAAGTCCTCACCTTGCGAGCTCTGCTACAGATGCATGAATCAAACGCAGGGTTTGGCGTTACGGTGCTGCATGCACGCTCGTCTGCAGATGCATGCACGCATGGACACGCGTTCATGATCATCGGTACAGCATAGTATATAGATCATGACAGAAAGCCCGAGGACCGAGCAGGGACATGTGAGATATCTTTGTATTCTTTCCTCCCACATCTCCGGAAGACCACATGCAGCGATGCCTATTCGAATTGGTCGTGTTTCAGAGTGCAGTGGTAAAGCATCCCTCAACGTGCATTCTGCGAGAAATACGCATGTGCTCATGTATGCAGGTATGTACATACGTAGGTACATATGTATGCATGGACGTACGTATGTCCGTATATGTATGCATGTATGTAAGTGTATGTCAATGTCTATGCCGATGTCTATGCCTATGTATATGTTTATGGCTATGTTTATGTACATGTATGTGTGCGTATGTATGTATACATGCTCACATGCGTGTAATACGTTTGTATCATGCGTGTGTTTGCGCGTGCTTGCCGTCGGGGGGACGGGCCTTGATTGACGGGGTTTGTCTGCAACGAGGGGGCAGCGAGCTGTGCTTATGGGGCTGGGGGAGTCTTTCGGGTTTGGGGTTTAGGGGTTTACTAGGGTTTAGGGTTGAGGGGAGTAATTAGGGTTTAGGGTTCGGGGTTTACGGTCTTATAGGTTTAGGGGAGTCATTAGGGTTTAGGGTTTGGGGTTTAGGGGCTTCCTATTTTCGATATAGCCTCTGATTCCGCTATTCTGCTCAATACCCCGTTTGACACCCCGTCTAATCTCCATTTAAAGCCTGCATTAGGGAGGAGCCGTGTCGTTCCGTTTTAAGTAGGTACTTAAAGGATCAGGGGACTTAGGGGGTAGGTGAGGTAACTCCATAAGTATACCTACTCACCGCCCAAACTAAGATACTTATAATCCCACTTCTAAATCCGCTGAACCTGGGAGTGTAGGGCAGGCGAGGAGGGGCTTCTACAAAAAGAAGTCTGAATAGTAAGTAGTTGTGTGTCTCAGGGTTCTCCTTGTCATCATAGCAAAGTAATCCCCAAAAGCCTATTCTAATTTCTAATCCGCCGAATATCGGGGCCTTAATACTTGGAATAGGGTTTGGGGGTATACTCTACTATGATCATAATAATAAGGAGCCCAAGTACAAAATAGTGAGCTGAAGCTAGTGCTGTCAGATCCTCTGCAATCATAATAAGGAACCCCCAAAATAGTATTGGTAATTACTAAGGCCCCTCTAGTATACCAGCAACCCTGTGGGTTCGTCGATTTTGCATTTCCTGAGCCCTGAGCCCAAACAACCCTTTTGGAGGATCAGGGGATTCAGTAAGTGGGGTTACAAGTAAGGTAGCGACAATTTTATCTACTTCGCATCCTCATTAAACCACTCATAACCATTACATACTGAGCCCCCTAAACCTGTAGGCATGTACTACTTGGACGTTCATGGGTAGTTATAAGCGGGGTTACAATTCCCAAAATATGGGTTACAAGTATAGTGATCCTCCTTAAGATCCGACTTATAACTACCCATCAACCTCTAAGTAGTCAGAAGCAACAAGAAGCAGCTGGGCAATCGAGCTGGCCCGAGCCACAGAAGAGGAAAAAGGCATCCGGCGACCCAGTGGTGGGCAGGTTCGGCCTCGCGGCATGTTGGCTTTCCGTGCCGGCAGGTTTAGAACACAACTGCGATAGACATTTCTTGTGTCGTTCTAGTTTTACGACCAGGATCAGAACACCAGAGTCTACTTGGAGGTTCATAGGCATGGGCAGTCATTATAAGTGGGTTTATACGTCCCCCAATTAATGTTGGTTATACGTATAGTTATCCTACTTATAACCCCACTTGAAGCTACCCATGAACCGTAGTCCACAGAAGGAGGTCTTCCGGAGTTTGGGGAAACACATCAGACACTACCATCGGGGTTGATAACATTCGCTGGTGGCGTTTCCATTAATGTAGACCCTGATTAATATTATGAGCCAGGGGACTTTAATCCCAAATCCGAGACAGCCATCAGCCCCAAACTTGAACCCCCTTGAACCCCCCCCACTACCCAGCACACCTCATCGGATGTATAGCACGGTATCCTGTGTCCCTGTAGTGTGGCTTAGGGAGTGTTAGGCCCCGCGAGACATTGCTCACAAAAATCAAATCCGAAAGTCCTGAATACCCGACCCGCCAAAGAAAAAATCCTTTGCAACCGAAAGCTTACAGACGGGGTTTGGGCTTGGAGTTCGGCGAATATAGGGGCCTTGGCAATTATAGATCAGAGTTTTGGGGTACGTCTAGTACAACTAGAACAAGGAACCATAGCGAATCATGCGTGAAATGACTGTTCAACCCTAAACCTAAAACCCTATACTAAAATCCTAAACCCTAAACCTAAACCCTAAACCTAAAACCCTAAATCCTAAACCCGTTAGGCTTCTTACACCATAACCATGACCCTTACAGGAACCCTTGATTCAAGGAGGCGCTCAGACGCAGAAGCCACAAAGGTCTACCCACAGGGTCCTAGGTACTGTTATGGGAGATACTTCCACAAATCACAGTAGTAAATCCTACATTCTACTGTTTAGGTACTTTGGACCCTTTGGTCGACACTCCGAGGGTCGAAGCCAGCTGAGAAGAGGGCAGAATAGCTCGGGCAGACAAGCCGTAGCGCACATTCGCCTGAAAGTTGCCTGCAGGGAAACAAAGAGGAGCGGGTGTGGGAATTCGAGGTTTAGGGTCCCTGAAAGTGCTTGCATCTGCAACATCAAGACCCTTTTAGACAAAATCCGAAAGCCGTAATTAACACTGAACTCCGTGAACGAAGTTCGACCTAAACCCTCAAACCTAAAACTGTGACGACACCTGAACCCTGACCTTCACGTCCGCCCCCAAACCGAAATCTGAGAAAACACGCTGCAAACCTGCAAAACACAAAGCCCTTTTAGACACTACCAAAACATGGGTCAGCAAAAGGCCTTCTGCGGTGGAAACAAGCTCGTTGAAGGGCTCCACCTAGCATTTCGATGGGAAGAGCAGATTTTCGATTTAGACGCGGGATCGTTCCATGGTGGTTTTATTGGGCACTATACGGATTTCCGGTCTAGGGGTCTTGAGGTATAGCGTTTAGGGTCATTGTTGACATGCAGGTGAGGTTTGGGGTTTGGAGTCTGCGAATTCAGACTTTAGGAGTTGCGGCTTTGGGTAATTTGCAGGGGCCTTTAATCATTGATTAGAGGAAGCCTAACTACTGGTAACTATGTAGGCTTCTATATTATTGTAGTTGGGTCATGAGGCATTCAGGAAGCATGAACGAAGACACGTTCATAATCATGGCAGATTGAACACGATGTGAACTATCATCTATAGTCTCCATTGTAGTTCCTTTTGGGGGATCCTTATTGTATATTTGGATAAACAAAAAATGGAACTACAATGGAGACGATAGGCAGAGTCAGTAAAGCAAATCCAATACTAGGAACCCTTTGGAAGTATTACGACAACGGTCGTCAAAATAACCTTGCACCAGCTTCAAAACCCATGATCAATGTCCCTCCGCATGAGCACAACAAAAAAGCCCGACATCTCGAATATACGATACACAGGAATATACCTTGAATAACCCCTCCAATAAGCAGAACTACATACGATACACAGGAATATACCTTGAATAACCCC